GGCTGCCGCAGGCACGTCCTGAGGTGCCATCGGTCTGTTGAGTGGCACTTGTGTCACTGAGGCTGCGTTTGCACCCTCGGAGAGAGGTTCTGCAGGCCTAAGACTTGTAGGCATCGTTAATGATTGACCTGTTGTCAGGACAGGCAGGGCTGCGTTCCCCGATGGAATCGCCACGGTGCTGCGGCCTGCAGTCACGCTTGGTGAAGCAGGTGTTTTAGGGGGCCTCCTCCTCCTCTGACCTCTCTTCCTTCCCACTCTGAATGTTTTACTTTTGGTGATTTTGGAGTCAGTTTGAGGAGTAATAATAGGTATGACTGTTGGCCCCAAACTTGTTACATCCATTTCTTTGGTTGCACTCGTTGCAAGACTAGAGTAAGAACGTGGTTTTGCAGTGGGAAGATGTTCTTCTGACTTAATGGGTTTGTTTATAGACGAGAAACCACTGCTGTGAGTCCCACCTGTTGAAATAGGCGTAAAGTGCAAAGGAGACATTTTGGACATGGATAATGCTGCCGTAGTTTTAGGAAGCATGGTCGATACCTCTATTGATGGAAACACATCTGTCTGTTGGTTTGGTACCTTCTCCAGAACCTCTTTTTGTGCACCATTTCCAAAGAGACGTTCCCAACTAATTTTTCCTCTTTGGGAATTTTTTGGTGAGGTTCTAGGCTTAGCGCTGGGTGAGACTGACTCAAGGGTAGAAGGTATCTTAGTGCTTATGGTATTTATAATTTCTGTAGCAGTATGAGCTGTGTGGATTGCCGTTGTTGGTGGTCTGATGCTAAAAGGTTGGACTCCCGTTGTAATGAAAGGCAGGGCTGTCGGAGTAGTTTTTTGCCTTGCGTTATCTTTGTTTTCCTCTTCCCCAAGGAATGCTGTGTTTTGATGAGAACCTGCTGGGTGCTCCAATGGCATAGTCATGGTAGAGGGGGAGGACAGAGGTGCTGCTGGGCTAAGTGGGTTGATGGAGTGGTTTAAATTATTTAAGGTTGGTAAATTTGATACATATTTCATATTCATTTGAACATCTGGAGCCACAGCTGTACTTCCTCTGACAGATCCTGGCCTCCCCAAATTGTACCTGTGCTCTTTCATACCTGGAATGCGTCCTGGTCTAACAAATCGTCTCCTACTAGAAATTTTCCTCCGTCTTCCATATTGCTGCTGGGCCTGGGGTGTATGAGTTGTAACATCCTGAATAGTCTGAATTTGCTGATGAGTAATGGTAGTTGAGGCCAATGGTGGCTTAGGAGTTACTTGTTTCTGAGTAACATGAAAATAAACGTGACCAAATCCAGGGCTTGGTTCACTGACTGTCACTACAGGTATCTGGTGATCTGTTTTGGACGAAATCTTATCAACAGACTCAGTAAAAACATGTAGCTTGTCCGCTGCAGTTTGGGAAGTGACAGACTTGCTGGTGGCCACAACATTTGTCACGAGTGTTGTAGATACAGATTTTAAATGCTGCTTATTACTTTCCCCAGAATACACCAACGTTTGCCCAGCAGGGAAGAGTGTAGATGTTCTACTTGCTGCATTTGATACAGCTGATTGTTTCATACCATTTGCTGACATTTGACTTAAATCAGATCTTTCCCTCGAGTGTGTAATTGTGGGGTTTAGATATGTTTGAGGCCTTCTGCTGTCAGATGACGCAGACTGTGAAAAAGGAGAGGGTAAGGGAGTTACTGCCTCTGCAACCAGGAGAGAGGTTTTCCTAGCAAGAGTGTTACTCATGGTCATCTGGGGCCCTGCAGTTGTCATGGTCCCCAGAGTAGATACAGTGGTCGTCTCTGTTACTGGTATCATGAATTCTTCTTCTGGAGATATGAGATCACCAGATGTTTCCTCCTCATTCCCAGGTACTTCTGAGAACTTACGGACTTGAAGAGGTGGTTTCGTTGCAACTTCTGCTTGCTTTTCTATCAATGTCGAGTTCCTCCTTGTTTTTTCCAACAAGGCTGCCCAGCGCTGTGGATCAGCTCTCCTGGCTGAGGAAACAAACTGTCTTCTGTGTCCTCTAAACCGCCTGCTTATTTTGTCCCTGTAGTGCCTGTAAGTCATCTTCCCGTAGCCATTCCTTTTGTGTGTGCTCTGTGTGACCTGATTTCTGGATGCTGTAGTGGCAGAGATCTGATCAGCTGTCAAGGTAGCTAGAGTAGCGGAAGGATGCTCCTGTGTTGTGGCAGAGGCCAGCACTGCATTGCCAGAGCCATCGCCCTCTTCCCATTGTCCCACAGCTACATGTTTTTTCTTTAGAGTGGTTTCGTCCTTCCTAACTAGCACTTGGAAAACCAACAGATCAACGCCATACTGGTTGGCTGCAACACATTTGAAGTAGCCACGGTCTTGCTCTGTTACCCCTTGTATTCTCAAGGTACCATTGTCAAAAATATGTTTGTTTCTCACAGAATGCTGAAGAATTGCATGCTCAGGTAACACCCAACTAATGGCAGCATCTGGAACGGCGGTGGATGTACAGGGAAGGTAGAGCGTGCTGCCAACAAACGCAGAAACTTGGGCTCCATTTACGCTGTTGTGCTCCACGTAAGGATCGACCACAGTAATTCTAAATGTGAGAGTATCTGCATCGTTGTAATTTGTGCCTATGCAGTGATAAAGCCCAGTGTCAAACGTGTCAGCTGTCCGTAACGTGAATGTTCCAGTTTTAACTACGATGATTCTTCCATCCTCACTGACATAAGGGGCTCTCACTTTGCTCCCATCAGCCAGTATCCACTCTATTGCAGGAGCGGGGTCTCCAATTGCTCGGCACTCTAGTTCGACGGCCCCTCCGACTAAAACAGTGTGCTCCGTCTGTGTTTTGTTGTCCCTGGAGATGATGGTCCAGTTATTTCTCACCTGTTTTTTGTCAGCACTGGGCAAAATAATCTCAGCATCTGTAAAGTATTGGATGTGCAACGTGTTAAGTGTGGTTGCTGTCCGGTCTAGCTGTAATGCCACTCTGCTTTGCATTAACCAAGACGGTTCAGCTCTCAGTTCAGTCTCTATATTGGTAAAAAGTTCGTCTTTTTCTGAGTAGATTTGTTTATATTTGTAACCAACAGAAGGCACGTGAGTTGCTAGGACATTCCTTTCCAGCTTTAAGGGAGAATTACTGTACAGTGCCAGTATGCTCCATAGCTGCTGAATATGTTCATACTCAATGCCGCACACAAGAAAAGCTGAGAACGATGCTTTGAGTACCGTACTGTTGCCATCTTTGTCAAATGAGATGGGAGACATTTCTTTAGGCTTTTGGATGTTGCAAACCAAGTTACCTCGACTTCCTGCTTGGTCCGTCATGTTCAAAACCATGGATCCTATGGGCGCTATGAAGTCCTTGGGAGATACGGAACTGAAATCCCCATCACCCGGCACCGTGAGGTTTTTCAGTTTCAGGGAGTCATGTATGGCTGGCTTAGTGCAGGTTAAAGATGCAGAAGGAATATCCACTAAGCTTCTCCCTTTACGAGTCGTGGGACTAGCGCAAACTGGGCATTGCTGAGCACCAGAACTTCTGTCTTTTTTGCACTTTATAACATCTGAAGGGAAGAAAAATGCATACAATTTTTAGTGATACAATTTTTAGTATTAAAAAAGACATATAGCTACCAGCAAGTTGTTCTCTTGAATACAGTATTAACAAAGTTCGTCCTAAAGTAACCTATGAAAACCTATGAATTTTCTCAGCTGAAACTGCTTAAGGACTGTTGCTGCTGCAGCTCAGTACGACGCCTTGTCCCAGAGGTTTCACACCACGCAAGAAGGGCTCTGCTGTGGTACGCGACCGTAGCTTTGATCTGAGAGGGGGGCTCTAGCAGTCTGGGGGTAACGCTACACGGTCATGTGCAACCTCTACTCAGGGCAGCAACAGAGAAGCCCCTGAGCCCCATTCCTTGTTGCTTTTTTGAAGAATTGAGTACAACACGTCCTTCGCTCTTGCCAATCACATAAAAATTAGCTTCCTTATTCCCTGTGGATTCTCCTGGTGCACAGAAGCTTTAGACTGGCCAAGGAAAATGTTCCATTAAGGAAAGCTGCACTCAGGAATGGGTTAAGACCACTAGATTCATTTAATCTGGGAAACTGAAGGGTTTCAATCTGTTTATCCTCATTACATGCACCTACAAAAATCCTGTCTTCCAGTCTTTTCTGGGAGAATAATAAATAGAGGACGGTTACCTTTATCAGAAAGAATAAGACGCTATAACATGATTAAAAAGCATAAACAAAGCCTTCAGCTCACCTGGTCTCTGTTTTGCCCACGCTGCAAACCGCTGTAGATTGCAATCACAGGACCATGGGTTTCCATGAAGGTAAATGCTCTCTAGCTCAGACAAGTAGGAAAACATTTCTTGTGGTAGTGAAGTCAACACATTGTCAGACAAATAAATGTGCTTCATGAAGGATATTTTAAATATTTGTCCATAACGCAAGGTGACAAAAGTATCTGGATGAAGCTGCTTAAGTAAATTTCCTTCCAAGTGGACCAACCTCAGCGATGTGAGTCCGTAGAAAACGTTGGGATTTACAAATTCAATTTTATTGTGGTCCATATGCAACCGTACCAAGCTCTTTAGACCATAAAAAACATCCTCCTGAAGTACTCTGACCTTGTTATAACTCATTTTTAAGACCTGTTGATGAAAAAGCAACAAGTGTATATCAACCCATGCTATATTGTTATAAGATACCTAACAAATTTTGATTGACGGTTATTCTGTGAAGTGAAAGTACTTCATCAGACCAGTTATGTGAGTGATTGGAAAAAAACTTAGTAGGAGGAATTATTTTTAAAAATGCAATGTTAGTTGCAGGACTACAGGGATGCTTTCTTGTTCCACCAGTCCATCAAGGTGGCACTTCTGCAGTCACATTTACAAAATGCAGTGATTAAAAAATAAAATAAAGCAATGCTTACTTCTCATTCAAAAAAAAAAAAAAACCCCACTTAAACCACACTTACGAAAAGGGGAAGCAGAATTTGAGCATAAGCTGTGGTAGTGATTTTTGTTCCAGCCAGTTCCGAGACTATAAAAATGCACAGGAAAGCCTGTTGTGTTTGATGTTTAACTGAAACGCCAAGTGCGTTCCCAGTTTCAGGATTTGTGTCATGCAAGATGTGTACTTGCCAAACCTCAGCTCTCGGGTGGCATTTTGTTGCTGACAGGTTAAAAGTCAAATTCCTAACTATGCGATGAACAAAACTGGCCTATTAAGAATTAAATATGGGACCCAAGACACCCCTTCTGTTGTTACTTTTCCTGTCAGAATTATACTGTTACAGTCGCAAAGTCTGTATTTTGAAAATTAGTGAGGGAAAAAAGTACAAAATCACAATAACCTGCAAGTTTATTTTATTTGCCAAATATAATTCCATTAAAACTATCTATAATTGTGTTGCCATCTTGCTTGTTGATAAGGGAGGAAAGTTTATAGGCTCCATAAAGCTTATTTCATCGAGTTGCAAGGAGTTACCAAGCAAGCCTTCAGGCACAGCACCACCCTCCACGAGGGCTAATAAACCCAAAGATCCGTACGCTCCACCGCCTGCCCAGTTTCTCCTGTCCCTCCCGCCCCTGCCCACTAATCCTCTAAACCAGCAACGGAGCCAGGCCCAGGTTCTCCGGCTGAACAGTTCAGGTCTCACGTTCTCAGTTCAGCACAGCTACACCACTATTATTGCGCTACAGCCGTTAAGAACAGCTCTAGATGGAAAGTTAACTGGAGAGTAAGTGTAATTACCTGGGAATGGCTGTTCCTAAATAATCGTGTAAGTACTTCTTTATATATGAGTATGGCACAGCGTGATGCTGAGACAGCTCCAGAATCCCTGTATCACACGTTTACTAAATTTTACAATATATGTAAATATAGGTCATATGTTAAAAATAGGCAATATTTCAGCTAAAGAACAAAACAGACATCAAACACTGTATTTTAAAAGTCCACAAATAGATGTTAAATTATAAAACCAAGGAGCTGTAGGGTTTTTACAGCATTACAATGTTTATATGTAATATGTCCAGTGTCTGTTCAGTAGGAGCCTTTTTTTTTTTAAACGAAGGCCAGAAAGGGACAGGACTGTACTGTACTGAAGGGAAAATCTAGATGGAAAACAATTCTAAAAAAAATAAAGTAAAATTGACTAACAAATTAACGGAAGGCAAGTTTCCTACCACCGCCGCAGTACTTGGAGCTCTGCAATCTTTCTCTCTCGTGTGACAGCGAGATCCAACTGCAGTTGCCCATTCAGATATTGCTGACATACCTACCACTATGTTGGTCACACTCTTTAATCTGCCCACCTGGGAAGGGTGGACATTTCCCGGGGGGATACTGGATGCTGGAGGCCCTCATCTTTCATGTGGATACGGTAAGAAACAGGAAACCACAATGCTACAGGCTGCTAGTCTGCTCCCATTTATCAGTATTACTGCAGATTGTTTAAAAGGTAGAACAAGAATTAAGATTAGGTCATCTCCTAATTAAGATTCTTACCTGTAATGAATATAAACCACTGAACACCTTATCAGGGATTGTATTTATCTCATTGCTGTGCAGCATCAGTAACTCCAGTTTCTCCAGGCCAGAAAAATCTGTTTCCGTCAGTTTAAGCAAGCTGTTGTAGCTGTAACAAACATTTCATCCCAGACCTGGGTTTAGTCAGACAGCTAAACTTCACAAGTTTTAAAACAAACAAACCAAACCAAACCAAACCAAACGAACAACTCTTTGGAAATGCATAGAGGTAGGCAGCACTTGTGTTTGCTAAGATGAGATTTTTAAGTCATTCCTTCATGCTAGCACAAAATTTGGTAACTTTTCCAGGGCAGCTTTCTGAAGACTGTATTCACAACGGGTCGGGAAACAGCCGCAAAGACGTGCAGCCAAGAATGCCGGTTTGGGGCTTCAACGGAGAAGAGCAAGGAGCTCCTGTAACGGCAGAGGCTGGCAACGCATCGATGCCTCTCTTCCCAACGCTGTGGTATCCCAGAGCGGACCACGAACCAGAGAGCCTCCTCTGCTGTCCGCTGGGAACTAGGAAAAGCCAAGGGCACCAGGTGTCACCTTCCCCCTGGGACCTGGATGACGACGGCCGTGCCCAGGCTACGGTGCGGGTGGGTTTGCAGAGTGTCTTCCAGTCCCGCCCTCGGCCTTGGCATGCTACGCTACCCCAGGGTTCGTGGTGTTGCATAAGCCTCGCAAATGGTGAGTACCTGCTCTGCGATGCCTTTGACTTCATGACTGCTACCACACTTGCATGACGTGATTAGCTAACGCAGGGACTCTCCTCGCGCTGCAGTCACACCTCCTATGCCCAGTGGTGACAAATAAGTTGCATTATTTCACCAGTCAGATAGACGGGCCTTCCATAGTAGTAATTAATGTATTTCAAACATGTGTCCCACACCTCGGGTAACCCACAGTCCTCTCAAAGTACTGGTACTTAACTGCAGGGCTTCGGATACGGCACTTCTGGCCAGCGCTGACAGAAGCAGCGGAAGGAACGGGCAGCCAGGGGCCAGGAGCTGGCATCTGGATATGTCGTGCCCGGAAGCAGAAGGCAGATGAGGGGGAAGACATCAAGGAAACTTCCTTTTATGTGTTCTGCATACACATATGGACGACTCAAAGGTTATGTGTATGAAAAGTGATACAAGGATCAGTCAGATATTGCTGACTGGTCTCATCATTGGATTGTATGACAGAGAATACCTGCTGGAAACTGCGTTAACGGGCCAGCTGAGCCTGGGTATCATCTATTCCCTGTTCCTTTTAACCACTCACAGCACAGAACCATTTGGGAAGCTGAAATATTCAGACGAGTGTTATTTCCCATAGACTCGATAGGCGCAAGCATGGATAATAGCATTGTGTGACATTCTAAAGTCACACCAAAGTCTCTGAAGATTTTAATACACATACCAATTTTCCAGCCCACTGTCTGAGCTCTGAACTATCTTTTCCCAGAAAGAATTCTATTTCAGACTCCCGAGTTCCATGTTATGGATGCAAAATGTTCGAGTAATATAAAAGAAGTCATTTAAGTTCAAAACTTTTTGAAGTTCTTACGTGCCCTGTGATGCATCCCCAAAATTTCCACTTAGTGTTGGAGGTCTTAGGCTTTGCTAGCTGTGACTGTATCAACTTCTGAATACTGCAGAACATTAAGTTATTAAGATCTATTTATTGCTTTGTTTAAATTTTAGCCCTAAATCTGGAAACTCTGAGTTACTGCTTTGCAAAGTGCTGAAAGGTAACTGGTCACAATATTTAAAACCTCGATGTTAAACATACCCCAGATTGATGCGCTCCACGTTTGGAGGGATGTGCGGTGGGACGGCTGTGAAGTACCGGAACGTGCAGTGCACCTCGGTGGGGACGTAGCAGGCGCAGAGCCGGGGGCAGGCGATGCTG